ACCTTACTGTAATTCAAGGTACTCTTCCAACTGATTCTACTTCTAATTGTTTAGATCTAGATGTGCCTATTATTGAGAAACGCAAAGGTGTTAGAAATACTTCTAAATATCCTATTTCTATGTTTGTGTCCTATGAAAAGTTGTCTCCTAGTTATTCAGCCTTTACTTCACAACTTTCTAGTGTGGAGATTCCAACAAATATGCAGGATGCTCTACAAGTTCCCGAGTGGAAGGAGGCTATTTTGGGGGAATTGCGAGCTCTTGAAAAAAAGAGACATGGGAGTTAGTGGATTCGCCCGAGGGAAAAAAACCAGTGGGTTGTAAATGGGTGTTCACCCCTAATTCAAATCAGACGGATCCTCGGAAAGATATAAGGCCCACCTAGTAGATAAGGGATTCACACAGAGATATGACATTGACTATCTCAAGACATTTGCTCCAGTAGCTAAGCTAAACTCGATAAGAGTTCTATTGACAATTGCAATAAATATAGACTGGTCTCTTCAGCAGTTGGATGTGAAGAATGCTTTCTTGAATGGACTGGTTCATCTATTGATAGGAGGTTTACATCTGGATATTGTACATTTGTTTGGGGAAATTTAGTGACATGGAGAAGTAAGAAGCAAAATGTGGTGGCTCGAAGTAGTGCTGAAGCTGAGTATCGGTCCATGGCACATGAAATTTGTGAAATATTGTGGATCAAGAGATTTTGGAAGAACTACGAAGACCTGTGAGTTCTCCAATGAAGTTGTATTGTGACAATAAGGCTGCCATAAGCATTGCTCATAATCCAGTTCAACATGATAGAACAAAGCATGTGGAAGTGGACATACACTTCATTAAATAGAAGATTGAAGATGGAAGTGTGTGCATTCCTTTTGTTCCAACAACTGAACAAGTTGCAAATATTTTCACAAAAGGTCTTTATAGAACTACGTTTGAGTCCTTTGTGAGCAAATTAGGCATGTTTGACATTTACATGCCAACTTGAGGGGTAGTGTTGAATGAGTTGGCGGATTTAGTCATAATCTGCTCCACCATTGAGCTCACATATTTGATTATAAGCTGATCCACAAATAAAGCTGACAGATTTGTGTAAATATAGGATTAGAATATATTTTTCTAGGAAAATAGTTTAGATGAACTCCCTTGATTCAGGGATTTCCTAAGAATTAGTGATTGATTAGTTTAATTGGTCTTTACTTGTTCTCTAAATACTGTACAAATACTATGAATAAAATATACTTTTGCCATATCTAAAGTTTCATGATGGTATCACTTATGCACTCTAACTGTATATCACAAGTTCTAGTGGCATAAGCATAATTTTTCACAACTGGTGTTGACATTTAAGGAAGTGAATATATGAATAAATTGCCTATTTATATCATATTGCACCCAAGGGTGTGGCCTAGGGGTTAGTGAAGTGGGCTGAGGCTCATTCTCCCATCAGTTCGTTGAGATGCACGCATGCTGGCCCCAACATCACCGCCAACATACCTATTGACATCTTACCAAGTGGGGTCTGGGGAGAGTAGAGCATACTCAAACCTTACCACTATGTGGAGGTACGGAGGTTATTTTGGAAAGGCAATAGGAGGGATGCTAGATGAGGGCTGGCCCCAACAACACAATTGTAAAAAATTAAATTAATTAGATGCAACTCAAATTCATTATAGAAAAAAGGGTCAAATATACCCCTGAATGATAACGAACCTTCTTTTTCATAATTTGACAGATACCACAGACCTACGATCGAGCACCAGAGCTGCACTTTTATACGATTCCAATTATATTTTATATTAATTTTATTTACCTAAATTAATTTTCAAACTAAATATGTATTCTACTATTTTCATTCAAAATTATTACATCGGCCCTCAACTAAATCGACTAAAAATTTGGATGACTTAAAAGTTACAATAAGTAATAAAACATGTCAAGATATAATTGAATTTGATTTCTTTTTATCATATCATTCTTAGAGTTAGAAAAATAAATTCATTATTATTCATAGAAAAATAAATTTGAAATAGTTATGTAAGATAAGGTAGGTAATAGTACTGTCGTGCCCCAAGCCTAAGCCCTAGGCGTGGCCAACACTCTATGACATTGCTGGTTCAAGCAAACACATAATATGACATCGAATATAGAACATTCTTCTAAAATAGGTTGATTTCATAGTTCAAAAATAAACTCTTGAGAATTTCCTCATGCATAAAGGACATAAGTATGCATGGGATTGTACTGTATGTAAAATGGTTGATAGAACTGAATGAATGAAAGATAACTGAAACGTGAAGTAAACTCATAACTTAAGCCCATAAGTAAAATATAGAGCAAGTTAAAAGCTTTTAAACTTTCGAGGCTAACCTTGACCAAAAATTCATCTTTCATTCATTAACTTCTGCTTGGGAGTTATCAAATAATCGACATAACACCATGTGAGCTCATGATGTCTGTTCATCGCCTGACAGGGAAGTCGTCCTATAAAATGCCAGGGCATAGGGCGTAACATGACACGTGGATCCATCTAGAGGAGTCGCCCAAACCAGCAATACAATCCTTAAGCTATGCAATCATATGTAGTTTCGGTTATTCATTGTCTAAACTCATATCTTCTCGATTAATAATAATCCTCCCAAAACATAACATGTGCTTAAAACCATCATTAGTTGAAAGGTTAAAAACAACAACATACCCCGTGAAATCCCACTAAGTATGGTTTGGGCAGGTAGAGCGTATGTAGACCTTACCACTACCTCGTGGGGGTAGAGAGGTTGTTTTCGAAAGATCATCGGTTCAAGTGAATCAAACCAATTTTTAAAAAAATGAAAAAAATGAAGAAAACATAACATTTAATAAGAAGAGCAGTGTTTAACTGTAAAGTCTACAAAAAAAGGACAATAACAACATCAAAATAGTGTTATAATAAAAACAGGATAAATAATATATGACCCGAATTACAAGGGTACAACTAGTACTATGACAGGCACTAACAAGCCTAAACCTTTCCAAGGCAAAACAACACTCTACTACTAATAACCTTCTACCTAATACACGACCTCCATTCCTTCCTATCTAACGGAGTTTCTGGAAGTATGCTGGACATCTTTGCTTGATGGAGGTCTCTTCCACCAACACTTTCCCTTCCTCATCCTTGATGCACTTCAGTTGATTCAAGTCGCGAGTCTTTCTCTTTCTCGCTTTTGCGAGCCTATACAATTTCCTAATTTCCACCTTTGCCCCCTAGATCAATATGCAAGCGCTTGAAAGCTGCGAAAACCGCTAACTTGGGCTTTTGATTTCATCATCTTATAGGCTTCCTTAACCGTCTGCTTCTCTTCCTCATCCACGTACTCCATCAACTTTGTATATGCAGCCTACTTTGCTTCTACTTTGCCTTACACTTCTCCATTTCACCACCGCATTCCTTGATGACCAGCTAAGTTACCCCTCGATACCCGTTGCACCTTTGTAGCTACTTCCCCAATGCAACTAGCTGTCTTATTTAACATGTTGTTCATTTTCCCGCTACTTCTCCCAGCCCCCAAACCAATCAACTTCTCCGCCATCTTCCGAGAAAGGGCAGGGGTCAAGCCACCCCATTTAATTCTCGGTGGATCATAAGGTCTTCATCCTCATCCTTCTTAATCTTCAAGTCCATTGCAAAAAGCTTGTGCTGGATAGTAAGATTCTCACTCAGAATAATCATATAGTCCTTACAAAGGCCTCTATCAACCTTCTTAAGGAGTGAGTAATCTATGCAGTGTTTTCTACCGTGCTACGAAAGGTAACCAAGTGGTTCTCTCTATTTGGAAAGCACGAGTTAGCAATTACCATCTCAAAAGCTAGCAAAACCCAGAAGGAAAGCTCCACCTCCATTCCTCTCCCAAAAAACCAAGCCTCCGTGAACATCATCAAAGCCACTAGAAGTTTCCTTGATATGGGTATTAAAATCACCACCAATAAAAATCTTCTTGGTGTTCGGTATAATTTTCACTACCTCATCCAAATTCTCCCAAAATAACTTTTTGACCTCCTCGTCTAGGCCCATTGGAGGCGCATAAGCACTAACAATGTTTAAAGTAAGCCTGCCAACGACTATCTTAATTATCATAATCCTGTCATTGATCTTTCTAAATCATAAATTCATGAATCATGTTGTGGAGCCTTGGTTCAAATCATCATAGTTTTTTCTTGAAAATCGTATCATTATATAGTGAAGCTTAACCTTTGAGGAAAAAATCATAGTATTATACTTCCCATAGAGAATTATCAAAAATTATGGTTCATAGTTAAAGAAGTCATATTAGAAGAGAACTTCTCAAGAGGAATCATCTAATCTAACTCTTAAGTGGAATCATACTTTATCAGACGCATGTTGGAATTTTAAACATGTGACTTTCTTGAACAGGGAATTAAACCAACACTAAATCAAAGTTGCATTTTTATTAGCAGTGACATTCGATATAGTATATAATTATTTTTATTTTCCCATATTAATCATATATATTTCTGGGATTAATTTTTTTGAAACCTCTTCATTGAACGTGCATCCGCCCATTGCAAGTTCTTTCTATCACTTTTAATAAACGGCACAATGTATGTCGGTACTCATCCACTAAGTTGCTGCTTAACTTTTGGAGATGGTCTTCTGATTGTATTTAAGCTTGCTTTCTAAATAGGATGAAATATTTATCTCTTCTTTATTAATGTGGTTCTATTATTTTGATGCAATAGATATACTAGCTATATGGGTAGCACATACCTCAAGTAAGGTCTCATAAGTTATTCATTTTTTCTCGTTAAGAAATTTTCACCATATATTCAACTTGATTGTTTTCCAATTAGAAGCTCATTTTACCGTTATGAGTAGGTGCGTGGAAGAAAGGCTTAGATCAAAGACTTGTACTAATAGTCATATAGTTTCAAGTCCCATTAACTTTTATGAGAGTAGTTTGCATTGCACTCACTTACAATTCTTTGGATATTGTCAGATGGACTGACCAACAGAGAGATGCTGCTGCTAAAGAGGGTTGGGGTTACCGATTGACTTTTTCTGCCCGGCTGGTAATTGGTTTTATTTTCCTTGGTGTGTAGAACAATGTTGCGGTTCTTTAGTGATGTAACGTTTTCTGTCACAGGTTGGATTAGTTCTTGGTGCTGATGCCTTGTTTATTGGAGCACAAAAAGTAGGACAATATCTTCAGATGTTAAGGTCTCACTGAGATCGGCTGTTGCAGCTTGAAGTTACATGCTGTGCAGCCACAAGGAAATGATTTTTCCTGAATCCAGGATATGTGTAAAGCGACTTCCCTAACATCCTTCATCTGAAGCTAGAAGTGTGAGATGAAAATCCATTCTCAGGGCCCGGATTCCTTAAATGCCTTGTATTTCTTGGAAACATTTTTAAAGTGAGGTCATATAATGCAGCGACCTGACTTCAAAAAAGTTGTTGATTCTAAATCTGTATTACTATATAGCTAGATCTGGGGATAACATCGAAATAAACCACTATCTTTCAAGTGAGTTTTCTTGCCCCCTATTTTGCATGAAAATACAATTGATGAGTATTTATTTGGATTATTGAATTCAAGTTTGCGTAATTTACAAATATGTGTCTTGGTATGTTCATGAAAAGCAAGGAATTTATGTGCCCTTTGTACTGTTTCTTGACTTTTCAACTCTCTTTCTGATTAATTGATGAATCAACCAAGTTTTCTATTACAGGTCCTCTACATGTAAACTTCTGGATGATGGTTTCAAATAGTTGGGTTGCTTTATTCAAAATCGTGTCTTCTCTTGTTTCCTATCATCACACTCATCATATATGTAGCAGCAAAGCTATGAAAGACTTTTTACAGCTTAATTCCATGCTGCAATCAGGCTGTTTGTAAATCATTGAAATTGTACCCCAAGAAACAAGCTAAAAATATTAAACTGAAAATAAATACTTCGATTAAGTAAACTAATACTAAAAATAGGAAATTGGATGATTCTTGAAGAATTAGTCAACATTCCCCCCTTTCTTCAAAATCACATACTCCCATTTGTGGGGATGTGATTTTGTATCATCAACTTGATTAATTCTGCCACAATTTCAATAAGATTATTGCAGCAATTACAAGATTGTGGATGAAGTGATCATTGTGGTTGGTTCTATTATGAAAAACAGGATTCTTTGTCATAGCAGTCACTGCCTAGTTGTCATACCAAGTTTCAGTCGGACGAATCTGATTTGTTGAATACGAAACATTTTTTACACATGTACCATCATCAAATACCAACTTCTGATTCATATTTATGGGCGTGGGAGAAGGACTAAAATTCAACATGTTGCACCTCAATAGAAGCTTAGAAGCATATTATCTTTGCGAAATAAAAATTTCATCCAAACCTTGTTTCATGATCACCTCAAGCCCAAGTAAATAATGCAGGATACCGAAGTGATACATCCCAAGTTTGCTCATCATGCAACTCTTAAATTAAGAAACAATAGATTCATAAGAGCCTAGATAATAACATCATCGGCATAAAGACATACAACAAAAAAATTACCATTACCTCGCTTCTTCACATAAAGTGTAGGTTCATTCTCACCTTTTATGCACTACTACTACTCTTGGAGAAAAAAAGATTTTTGTTATACCATGCACGTGGACCTTGCTTTAACCGTACAATGCCTTCTTCAATATGTATACTTTGTTCTTCCCTTCAGGAGAGATGAAGCCTTAAGGTTGGGCAGCATATACTTCTTCATGTAAGTGACTTTTTATGAAGACATACATTACATCAAACATAGGCCAACAAGTTGAGCAACTAAGGCTAGAGTAGTTCTAACAGTTTAAAGCGAGCTACTGGTGGAAATGTATCTTCAAAGTGGAGAGATGAAGCCTTAAGGTTGGGCAGCATATACTTCTTCATGTAAGTGACTATTTATGAAGACATACATAACGTCAAATTGGTACATAGCCCAACAAGTTGAGCAACTAAGGCTAGAGTAGTTCTAACAGTTTATAGCGAGCTACTGGTGGAAATGTGTCTTCAAAGTCGATCCTTGGTTGCTCGAAATATCCTTCGGCAGCAACTCGAGCTTTATTCCCTTTGACACTTCCATTAGCATTTTACTTCATTTTGGAAATTCAATTTGTCCTCATAACATTCTTCCCTTGAAGAAAATCAACCAACTCTCATGTTAGGTTTTTCTTAATGGCCTGAATCTCTTCAATTCTTCCATTCAGGTTTCTTGCTGGCTTTTTCATAACATGTTGGTTCAACAACTACAAGGAAAAACTGCAAAATGCATAAACGTCATTCTGTGATCGAAACTGTTAGTGGCGTTTTGCTAGATGAAGCCGAAGACTCATAATGAGCTTGCTGGATTAGAATTGTTGTTGTTGCTGCCATAAGAAGAAAAAATAGTATCACTGTTGGAAGGAAAGGAAGGGTCAGAACCTATTGATTGAAAAACCGCAATGTGTTTTCCTTCTGATTGAACCGGAATATGAACTACTAAATCATCTTTTTCGCTACTCTACTCCTAGATTGCTTCTTTGTTAAATATAACATTTCTGCTGATTATTATTTTGCCATCTGGTAGGATAATATGTGCTTTGGATTGAGGACTATAATCTGAAAATGCATTTCTTTAATTTTTCATCTAGTTTAGAGTGTAGATTAACTAATTGCAATAGAATTTCGCTTAATGGGTAATAATTAATTGCTTAAAGTCGTTGAATATCAATGGGTAAGATGAATAGTAACTATAACAACCATTTTCAATTAGTTATTATGTTTCACACAAGTTCTTTCGAACCTCAACACGCCTACGATGCGAAGCAGTCCAATTCCCTGAATTGACCCAATTTATCACGCTGGGTTGTAAAGACAAGAGTTGATACAACTATCAATTATATACCACCCTAAGCATCTTTCACAAGAAAACTTAGAGAGCTAAAGCTAGTGAAGGTATTAAAAACTTGTTTACGCTAAATAACACAAGCACAGGGAAATCAAAGTCTGCTCCTAAAACAAAAAAGACAAGAGAGAACAGAATTGAAGCAGAAGAACAATTTTATTAATGCTTCATATTAATATATAAAAGCCTACAATGAAAAGTAAAAATAATAACACACGATCTAGGAGTCAATAAACAACTCCTAAATGATAGGAAAGCATGACTAACAACTAATTGACTAAGTCCTACTTAAAAACATAGGCAGTAAAATTAAATTCACTGCAGTTCAAACGCAGATTCCTAACACTCTTCCTTGCTTTGGATACTACAAACTCCAATTTTCTACCTAAGAAGCTCGAACTTGTTGATCGATAAAGGCTTAGTAAATAGATCTGCTAGCTGGTTTGCAGACTTGCAGTAGACTAGAGTCACTTCTCCCCTTTGTTGCACTTCTCTCAGGAAATAGAACTTGATGTTGAAATGCTTGGTCTTTTTGTGAAACAACAGATTGTTTGAGATTGCAATAGCTGTCTGGTTGTCGACAAGAATGATATAGTATTTTCCTTCTGTTCCAAATCATAAATGATCTTTCTAAGCCACAAGACTTGGTTTACTACTCCTGTTGCTGCTATGCATTCAGCTTCTGCAGTTGATTCTGCAACAACTTCCTATTTCTTAGATGACCAGGAGAATATTCCTGAACCTAGGTTGAAACAATGGTCAGAGGTACTTCTCATATCATCTACGGATCCAACCCAATCACTATTTGAGAATCCAAGTAACTTGAAGCTTGGACACTTCTCAAACTTTACATCATAGTCAATAGTACCTTTTATATATCTTAATATTCTTTTTGCTGCTTTTAAATGCATTTCACTTGGACACTACATAAAACCAGATAAGTGACTTACAACAAGTAAAATATCAGGCCTTGTTACAATGAGATACATTAAGCATCAAATCAAGCTTTTATAATTACCTTCATCAACTTTGTCTGCTCCATAATCTTTACAGAGCTTCTCTTTTTTATTCATCGGCGTGCTCATGACTTGCTTTTCTCCATTTGAAATTTCTTCAGAATTTCCTTTGCGTATTTCTTCTGGCTAGTGAACACTTCACTTTTGTTTTGCTTGATCTTCATTTCAAGAAAATAGATCAAAAGACCAAAATTTTTCATTTCAAAAACTTGCATAATTTCTTCTTTAAACTCCTCAACTAGCTCTGTATTATTTCCTGTTACCAGAATATCGTCAACACAAAGTGACATAATAAGGATATGTTTTACGTACAGAGTCGATTCAGATAAGATTTTTTCAAACCAAAGCTTAACAGATGATCATCTATCCTACTATACGAAGATCTTGCTGCTAGCTTTAGGCCATACAAAGCTTTTTTAGTAGATAAACTTTGTCTTCATCAACATGTTTCAAAAATCCTGATGGTGGTTTACATATATTTTCTCCTCCAGTATGCCATTTAAGAAAGTTGATTTGACTTCAAGTTGGAACACTTTCCATTCAATTCGTGTTGTTATTACGAGTAGCAATCGGATTGTGTCTAATCTTGCAACAGGAGAAAAAGTGTTAGAGTAATCAACGCCATAAATTTGTGTGTAGCCTTTAATTACAAGCCTTGCCTTGTATTTGTTGATGGAACTATCTGCATTTAACTTTATTCTGAAGATCCATCTCACACCAATGACCTTTCTATCTTCAGGTTTGTTGACCAACACCAAAGTTATATTTTTCTGAATCATGGAGAACTCCTCCTCCATTGCTTTCTTCCATTTTGGGTCTTGCAAAGCTTCTAGGGGCCCAGCAGGTTCATAGATGGTGACATTACACCTCTGGTAGATATTTGACAATAATATTCTCCCCTTGACAAGATGATCATCTTCTAGTTCTTGATGTTAGTGTTGTGCTTTTTGCTCTTCAGGAGGGATGATGTTTGCTTCTACAGAGTTTCTTCCTGATTTCTGAGGGAGTTCTTCCAGTCCCATTGTTCATTCTCACTAAAATTAACATCTCTTGTAATTGTCATCTTTCCTGTTTGAGGATAACAGAACTTATAGGCTTTAGAAACTCCACTATAACCCACATGGATGCCTATGATTTCCTTCTTGTCAAGTTTGTTACATTTAACCTGAGGAACATGAACAAAACAGACACAACCAAACACTATAATAAAACTTAGTGAAGGCTTATACCTGTTCGAAGCTTCAAATGGTGTTTTTCCTTCAAAGCTTCCGTTGGAAGTCGCTTATGCATAGAAACTGCAGTATTTGGTGCCTCTTCCCAAAATATCTTGGGCAACTCCTTCTCATGCAACATACATCTGACCATCTCTATTATCCATCTATTTCTTCTTTCACTAACACCATTTTGTTCTGGTATGTATAGTGTTGTAAGCTGATGCACAATGTTGGACTCCTTATAGAATGAATCACATTTCGTTGAAGTGTACTCCTTCCATTATCAGACCTCAAAGCTTGAATCTTACAATTACTTTGATTTTCCACCAATTTCTTGAATTTCCAGAATACACTTGCAACTTCTGACTTGAATTTCAAGAAAAAAAATCCAACACATTCTTGTAAAATAGTCAATGAAAAGAACGTAATAGATGCTACCTTGTAGTGATGGATTTTTTTGAGGCCTTATGACATCAGTGTGAACTAGTTGTA